GAAACGTGAGTGTATTTATCGTAATCAGTCCCATTTGGGTTCGAGTAGAACATAAGGTTGGCGGAACCTCGGGAACCACACCTACTTGACGAGCCCCAAAAGGGCGAAACCGGTCGTGGGCTGTCGAGGTGTTTTCATCAAGTGTGAGTAGGTTCTTTTATGAAAATGGGTAGCTCTTCTTCTTTCTTTTTAAAGAATGCCCTTCCTAGGGAGTAATTACCCGGGGTGGGGGAGAACTGTACTTCGAGCAAATCACAATTAACCAGTATTTTTATTTGCCCTGTTTTGTCGGTTTGTTCACTCGACCACCCCATTTAAAATGGACATCGTGCAGGAGAATTCTTCCTCTAGTAAGGCTAATTTAGACTATCCTCGTGGAGGTTATACTGAAGTTACTGATCTGCAAAAATCAGCTTAAAGCTTCGGAGACGGTCCGGTTTTTGAAGCAACTTCTAAATATTATTACGAAAAAGAACCGAAATGCCCATCAGCTCCGCTTGTCTAAGGCATAAATGAGTGCTTTGTTGTTTTTGATGGTCATCCTTTGTCATTTATAGCGGCGTTTGACGATTTTGCATAATCTTGGGAGTTGGTATGTCCGGTATGAGATCAGTGTATGTAGGTCGGTGATGGGATAGAGTCATGATTAGCCGCCGCTGCAACAGGTATCCCGCTGCTTCCAACCGCATCTAGGATTACTAGACATTTTGATGGACTCAAAATCGATCGGTCTGAAAGCACCCTACACATTTAAGTTTCCGTGACTATCTCCAGCGAGTAGGGAACATTTAAGATTTGGCTGCGTTTACGCAAAGCAGCTATGTACCACGGGAACTAACGCTGCTGTGTACTTTACCTCGAAGCATAGGGCCGCCGGCGTTTTCCTACAACACAACTTTTGTCCTTAGACAGCCAACTTATGACAAAATCACATGAATCATAAGGCTCTGTTGTCATCGGTAAATCTTCCAGCGAGTTTCGCCATCAACGGGTGATACAACTGACTTCCTGTGGTATGCGAGAATAAAAATTTATGGCCATATTTTAACTGGGCTAGCTTAAAGTGCCAGAGTCTAAGTGATGTTCTAGCCCACACAAACTGGAGAATCCATAAGTAGACAAACGTGAAGAATCCCAGAAATCATAAGAAGAGACAGGAGCAAAAGGTGTTTTTTTCTCAGCAACTGCTGATTGGATCTTAGCACCCTGGCTTTTGGTGAATATCTAATCAACATTTCGTCCTGTAATTGAATTCAGCCTATGCTGAAAAGACGAGAAGCACTTACAACTTTTTCATCCTTTGGTACAGTCAGCGTATTTCAGGAACTCCAGCAGGGTGTTTCGAACCCCTGACCTCTGTCGATAGTTTGGACAACTGACCGTTCGGCTACGGGTGTGTGTGTGTGTGTGATTAACTCGCACCTAGTGAATAGTCAGATGATCTATCAGGCTCCACGGAAGTTCAGATTCTTACCTACCAGTGCAATTTGAATTCAGAGGTAGGTGTACTGTGAACCTAGGGGTTGTGCCGAAAGACATCTTTTTCAGCCACTGTTAGTATTCGCTAAAATCTGGAGCGAGATTCGAATATCCGCGCACCCCAACCATCTTGTTGAACTTTGCTCGAATGTCCTAAAAATGCAGTTTTGCCGAGTCGTTGCGATTTTTATTCTTGAGGCGGCATAACTGAACTTCCGAAAAACAACCCTCTATGCTAAATTGAATTACTTATTAGTACTCCATCTCCAGAATATGGACCGAAACTCGCATTCGGCTAGGCTTTCCAGAATCCAGCTAGGCGTTCAACAAAATATATGGAACTTCACTAATTCGGGATACTTGGCAGATAGATTTTATTGTTGAGAACGTCCGAAAAATTTCCACCTGACATTAAGTGCACATAAAGTAGGTTTGATGAGCCCAGGAGTGTGATGAAAAAAATTTAAAGGAGGGATGTTTTGATTCATGGAAAGATTGCAGCCGTTCTCATGAAGGTCAGTCTTGAATTGGTAGGCTTTCTACTCAATGTACAACAGGTATTTGCGACATACTACCAACAGAAGAAGAAGCTTTTTATGTAAAATATTTCCCTCTTTTTTTCTGTTTCCAGAAGGTTTTCCAGAAGACTACTTGTGATCATCTGGGTAGTCTCCTCGGAATCAGTGGGCTTCAACTGACACGACACCCTAGGCCGGAATCCGTATTACTCATATGATCAATCAGCGACGAATGAATTCTCATTAGAACACATGGCACTGCAGGTGGGCTTCGGATGAGAACACAAAAGCCGCAAGGTGCGCGTGTGTAGATCCTGTGACCACACATTCCACCTTCACCTGAATTAGTTTGGTCACAGAGTGTGAGTAGCTACCGATTGGTTAAAAAAACTGCGTGACGTGAATTGGTTGGCCGTTGGCTGTTGAATACATAGAACAGTAGGCAATATCTAAAAGTTGCTTTAGTGTACGTTAACCTCTATTAAAGCGGCGAATCATAAATATAGGCGAATAAAGGACTTACTTGAGAGAATTCCATGGCTTTCGGTGAGTTGTTCATCAGGCTAATATGAGCTATCGCAAATTAAGCATTGTTCACGCGCTCTCCTTAGACGAATTCAAGATGACTCTCTTCAGTTAAATTTTGCTTTACTTACGTGCAACAGAAAGTAAGGTTTATGAACTCCTGGGAATGAGCTAAGAGGGCGAAACCGGTAGTGAATCACTGAAGGTTTTTCATCAACTTCTTAAGTAATATCATGTTAAGTAAGGACTTTTGTCAGACGGGCTAGCTTTGCTAGGCTCTGTGTTGCCACTCCCGCTGCATCTGAATTCAATTATGTCTATTTTTCAACACGCGCCTACTTTCTTGTCAAATTATTTATTCTTGAACTGGAGGTCTGTGTGTTTGAAAAAGTCTGGTGGTACGTAAGTAAAATCCATTGGATAGCTATATTCAGAACCATATGGGATGGTCCGGGACAAATGAGTGAACGCTTGATTCAGCGTAATCGTGACAGTGTATCACGTGCCACGTGAGGAGATCGATAAGCGAGACCCTTCCTGAACTAGGCTTCGACCAGTAGTAAGCGAGAGTTTCCCGTTTAAACCAGTTGTCTTCAGGTTCACATTCGAAATTTTAATAGATTCCAATAAGTATTCGACTGAATTTTTCAAGTTTTATGCGCGTTCGTGGCATGCATGAAAGCATTTGCTGATTCCGTGGGTAGAACGTTATCGTAAGTGAGAACGGAATTCTTGTTCAAAATACCTTCTGCGGAACTGCCAGTTTGAGGGGGAGGAATGAACACATGAGAGTTTCATATGCTTTATTCTGCTTTAAGACCACTTAATCCATCAGCGAAAAGGTTTCAGAAGTTCAGCAGCATTATCAATAACTGAGATACAGCAAACTGGGGCTTAGAACGGCATGAGTTTCGCTTACAACTACTGGATCTGACAGCGCAGAAGCCAACCCACCTATAGCCAATTCCTTTTAAAATTCCTCGAACTCTGAACCGATTGTAGAAGACGACGCCAAAATGAAGACTTCATTCCAAGCTCATTTGTTTACTGTTGTTCGACTTTTGTATCCATATCACTTTGTTCTGATTAGACTGCACCAAGTACCTCTTTACTTAAAATAGCTTGCGTATTGGATGAACCATTTTGTTTTGTGGCAGAAAAGTCTTGAGGTGAAGTGATCTTACGTCGTAAGCTGGTGCAGTTGCATTGCCCGAATCTGGTGGGAACACCGGATCAGCAATGCTGAAGTTTGTCGAATGGTAATCGGGATAAATAAATCACCCTCGATAGGTGAACTGACACACTGCATAGGTTGCGCTGGCTTGGCTACGTGCTGCGTATGCCAGTCGACCGACTTCCTCGAAGGGTTTTTTTCGCACAACCACGTGAAGGGTGCAAGAGAGCCAGAGGCGGTCAAACAATCACTTGGGAGCGAAGTATAAAAGCCATTACCAGCAAACTCAGCTGCGCTGGTCATTGCCGTCTTCCTGGATGGGGACCCCGAGCCGGGCCATATTAATGGTTAGCTGCATTGTCAGTTGCGCCCTCCATGGCGCTCATGCGTTCCAGCTATTGTCCTCAATGCATAGCTCCCTTCCCAATCCCCCCACTTAACAGTCCACCTACACTGCTGTATTTGTGCACTAATTTATCAGCTCCCGCCTCCAATGCGCAGCTACCTACCTCGAATCATCGGTGAATGAATCTTTGGCAGCTACAACCACTATATGACAAGTACGCGGTTATTACAGCTGACAATGATGATGATGATGAGCGGAGGGGCACAGGGAGAAACGTGTTGGAAGTTGATGAACAAGAGTTTATACTGGTAATAGCAATTAATATTGCATACCAATATTACGTGTGCTGTGGCTTGCACCCGGAGGTCCTTGGTGCTATTTCGATATTGTACTGATAAAGTGTGCGAATATAGATACCTTCTTACCCCCGAGCTCTTCGTTCTTCACGAAGCTGGACATTTGTATACGGATCTGCAGAATTCAGAGCCACCTTTCATAAACGGATAAGTCGACAATTCGCTACACTGGGAATGGTGATTTTCACGAATGCATTTAATCAAGCAACACCTCGGAAAAATTTGCCCCTTTTATGTATCCAGACACCGCATCTAACAAAATAAGGTTCCCATCTCAGTAAGTGTTGTATGCGCCACCGTCGAACCGGAGACTCTGTTTGATTAGATGTTTTTATTGCAGTTGCTTCCTCAGTTTCTGCCTAATCCAGGTTTCCTTGTTTATCATATTCCGGGGACCGATTCTCTCTCCGTTGTTAGTGCAAGAACACATTTTTTGTGTAAGCCATGGCTCTATCCCATGTCTGCGCCATGAAATCAACACAGCTGGGAAAGCTACTGTAACTAAGATCAGTCGATAGTGCGTCATACATTTACACACCTCTCGGCTTATCATTTGCCACACCGATTTTGCGGAAGTCTTGGTGTCATACTTTTAGGCTTGAATGAGTTCATTACTAAACGCACCCATTTTCTCAACACATTTTATCGACTTTGTCACAGATTCACGTTCTATGACTGTTCTCAGAGTCATTACATCCACAAAAGGAGACGAGGAGTCCACCAAACTTGAAGAAGTGCCTGAACTCAAAGGAGGTGCCAGGCTGAAGAAGTCGATCGGTTTGCTGAGCAGCACCACAATCGTTGTCGGTTCAGTTATCGGATCTGGAATCTTCGTGAGTCCTCAGGGTATTCTTGCAATGACGAATAGTTTTGGAGCCAGTATAATCGTGTGGATTGCGTGTGGATTATTCTCACTGGTGGGTGCCTACTGCTACGCCGAATTGGGTACCATGATGCCCAGATCAGGAGCGGACTACTCATACGTACATGAGGCTTTCGGACCATTTTTCGGATTCATTCGTCTATGGATTGACGTCAGTGTTGCACAACCTGTTGCTGCTGCCATCATTTCCATGGTATTCGCCAACTACCTATTGAAACCGGCCTTCCCAACATGCGCGGAATCGCCTCCTGCTGCTGTAAGGCTACTTGCGTGTGTATGTGTGAGTAAGTGTACTTTGTTGAACCTACGATTTATATACAGTCTCCTTATCATTTGTAACATAGTATGAAAAAGGCCCTCTCAGTTTGCGTCAGCATTCCCACAGAATGACGTCGTCAGAAATCGTAACACAAGTTTTTTGTAATGGGACGCATGCATCAATCTAGTTAGATCGACACTTGTGAGGAGGCGGCTTTATCAGCTAGTGGGATTTTATTTTATTATCTGCGTAGGGGGGAAGTGGAAGCTAATTTATACTCTCTGAAAGTTTTTTTAGTAGAGCTTGGTCAAACCTCAGCTGGAGAGCCAGCTAGGCCAAGTTTCAGTTGTATTATTCGTCAATGACATGGTCATCTACAGAAAGATCCTACTGAGTACACTGCAAGTAGTCCTACCACGCATAACAAAATGAAGTCTGTGGAGATTTCGTTCTGTAAGTGAAGCCAATCTATGCTGAAAAGCCGAGAAGCACTGTGCAGCTGTTTCATCCTTATTGGAAATCATGAGCAGTGCGCATCTCACGAAACTCCGAAGAGTCTCGAACCCGCGACCTCCCGGCTAGTAGTTTGAACACTTAACCGTTCGGCCACGAGTGACTGATCAGCAGTACAGTGCTTCTCGGCTTTTCGGCATAAATTGGCTTCACTTACAGAACGAAATCTCCACAGACTTCATTTTGTTATGCGTGGTAGGACTACTTGCAGTGTACTCAGTAGGATCTTTCTGTAGATGACCATGTCATTGACGAATAATACAACTGAAACTTGGCCTAGCTGGCTCTCCAGCTGAGGTTTGACCAAGCTCTACTAAAAAAACTTTCAGAGAGTATAAATTAGCTTCCATTTCCCCCTACGCAGATAATAAAATAGAATCCCACTAGCTGATAAAGCCGCCTCCTCACAAGTGTCGATCTAACTAGATTGATGCATGCGTCCCATTACAAAAAACTTGTGTTACGATTTCTGACGACGTCATTCTGTGGGAATGCTGACGCAAACTGAGAGGGCCTTTTTCATACTATGTTACAAATGATAAGGAGACTGTATATAAATCGTAGGTTCAACAAAGTACACTTACTCACACATACACACGCAAGTAGCCTTACAGCAGCAGGAGGCGATTCTGCGCATGTTGGGAAGGCCGGTTTCAATAGGTAGTTGGCGAATACCATGGAAATGATGGCAGCAGCAACAGGTTGTGCAACACTGACGTCAATCCATAGACGAATGAATCCGAAAAATGGTCCGAAAGCCTCATGTACGTATGAGTAGTCCGCTCCTGATCTGGGCATCATGGTACCCAATTCGGCGTAGCAGTAGGCACCCACCAGTGAGAATAATCCACACGCAATCCACACGATTATACTGGCTCCAAAACTATTCGTCATTGCAAGAATACCCTGAGGACTCACGAAGATTCCAGATCCGATAACTGAACCGACAACGATTGTGGTGCTGCTCAGCAAACCGATCGACTTCTTCAGCCTGGCACCTCCTTTGAGTTCAGGCACTTCTTCAAGTTTGGTGGACTCCTCGTCTCCTTTTGTGGATGTAATGACTCTGAGAACAGTCATAGAACGTGAATCTGTGACAAAGTCGATAAAATGTGTTGAGAAAATGGGTGCGTTTAGTAATGAACTCATTCAAGCCTAAAAGTATGACACCAAGACTTCCGCAAAATCGGTGTGGCAAATGATAAGCCGAGAGGTGTGTAAATGTATGACGCACTATCGACTGATCTTAGTTACAGTAGCTTTCCCAGCTGTGTTGATTTCATGGCGCAGACATGGGATAGAGCCATGGCTTACACAAAAAATGTGTTCTTGCACTAACAACGGAGAGAGAATCGGTCCCCGGAATATGATAAACAAGGAAACCTGGATTAGGCAGAAACTGAGGAAGCAACTGCAATAAAAACATCTAATCAAACAGAGTCTCCGGTTCGACGGTGGCGCATACAACACTTACTGAGATGGGAACCTTATTTTGTTAGATGCGGTGTCTGGATACATAAAAGGGGCAAATTTTTCCGAGGTGTTGCTTGATTAAATGCATTCGTGAAAATCACCATTCCCAGTGTAGCGAATTGTCGACTTATCCGTTTATGAAAGGTGGCTCTGAATTCTGCAGATCCGTATACAAATGTCCAGCTTCGTGAAGAACGAAGAGCTCGGGGGTAAGAAGGTATCTATATTCGCACACTTTATCAGTACAATATCGAAATAGCACCAAGGACCTCCGGGTGCAAGCCACAGCACACGTAATATTGGTATGCAATATTAATTGCTATTACCAGTATAAACTCTTGTTCATCAACTTCCAACACGTTTCTCCCTGTGCCCCTCCGCTCATCATCATCATCATTGTCAGCTGTAATAACCGCGTACTTGTCATATAGTGGTTGTAGCTGCCAAAGATTCATCGCGGGTTCGAGACTCTTCGGAGTTTCGTGAGATGCGCACTGCTGATGATTACTAATAAGGATGAAACAGCTGTACAGTGCTTCTAGGCTTTTCAGCATAGATTGGCTTCACTTACAGGACGAAATCTCCACAAAAATCCAAAATCTCCTCACACTACCAACAGAAATGAAGTCTATCCAAGGAAACAGAGCTGATGATCATCGACGATCTGTGCCGCTAATTTTTAATGAAGGCGAATGCTGCACCTGTTATGGGAGGCTGGCTTCAATTGAGATGTGACACATACATGTATTTTCTACTGGACTTGGTCAACATAGTTGCAAATTCAGCCATTTGCGACCAGCTCTCTATCTTGACCCGCGCATGGCTGCATTGTTTTAGTAACATAGTCTGAAGGTATTATAACTGTACGGTAATAAGATGTTAGTAGCCTATAGTAGCATAGCATAGTTTCAACCAAATGGCCTCCTAGCCAGTAGTTTCTTGAGCTTTGTAAAATGCGCACAGCTAGTGGATTTCAGCAGCAGCGAACAGCTGTACGGTGCCTCTCGGCTTCTCAGCACTGATTTCCACAGTGAAATCTCGGTCAAAATAGCCTGCGATCCGCTTCGAAAAGTTTTGAAGTTGCATGTTCTATTCAGATTCAGTTGGCGGCATGTCCTACTGCTCCGTACCCCAAACCAAAAATACCGACATATCAAACGGAATATAGACTTTAAAAACGTATCTTCAGAAGACTCGCAGTTTGGAAACACTTCTGTACTCTTTTGTAGTTCCACCGGGAGATTATTCCCAGGTCACATATTTTTATTCACGTTAGATGAGTCCAAAGTCCTGAGGAATTCTGAACACCTTTCATGTTAAGGCCTCCCTGTACTTGGCAAAGGATGAATCGTTAAGGTCACCTAACAGGGACCATGAGCTGTCTTGCTGTAAGTATGGAGAGGACGCCTTAAGAGGTTAAGCTAACCCGAGAGGCCTGTGATTCTTTAGGTCCCATGCCACAGTATGAAGACCTTCTCAGGACATTGCGCCACCTTCTATGTACCTACAAGGGCACAATAAGTTTCTGTTCGGGCCATCCTATGAAGATTTTAATATAATTACATCAATGGTGCCTAAAATTCTTCAAAATTTAATTCCAGATCCCACAACATATCACCAGAAATGCAAAGTTTGCCCGATAATCTCTGAATCAACATCTCAAGTTGAAAAACTCACCGCAGAGCCAGAATCGATTAGCCAATTCATACACCGAGCATCTAGCGCAGTAAACAAAGGCCGGCCAATTGTCTTAAAAGGGCCCAATGTGGAAACCAGTCCAAGTGGAGAAGGCGGATAACGCTTCACATGATTTGAGAGTCATGCTAATTATAGCGTTTACCCTTGGTGCTTTTGCGCAAATTTTTGTAAACGAGCAGTCGAATGGTTGTCGTTTTGACTGAAGCCGTTGTTCACCTGGCTGATCCACCAACTCACATGGTAAGTGGAGATACAGCAAACTTGACAATAATTGACAGTTTTCGAGAAGATGGAAATACCGTAATAATCGAGTGTCGGTAATGTAGTGAACTATTGGTAGCTCGGTAGCCAATTGCCAAGCTGGGCGAACAGATCAACAGCCACCCGATCAACAACCAATAATCGAGTGTCTTTTGGCTTCAGAACTAAGGTAGAAAACGCGGGTTTTAATTCCTACCTGAGTTAGGGGAGTGTGTAATTTCGTGGTTGCATTACCCGTAGTGCCGGACAAATGTTTGAATAACCTTAGACTACTTCGCCTGAAAAGAAATACATTTTGCCCTAAAAGTTTATTAAATCTTATACCGAAAATTGCATAGAAAACGTAAGCCTTGGCATGTCAAGTAACAAATGTTAAAAACCACACATTGAGATTACTAGAGTGAAGTAAAGCAGTCCGACTTTTCGACATTCTAAAGTGTCCTATGTTATTTATTTATTTATTTATTTATTTATTTATTTATTTATTTATTTATTCTATCCACACAGTCACCGTGTGCTTCCTTCATGTTCCTACTATGAAGTAAAAACTACCACACTCTTCGGCCCCTCGAACTCAGTTCCGAAACGACGTGTTACAATTTGCTCACTCCGCTTCACACCTCAGATTGCGTATTGACACGATCCACAGACTAGCTGTGTCTGCCATCCGATCCTAAACGTTGCCATGCACTACCAATTCCATCTTCACAGTATTTATGGGGACAGGGTAATGAATGATGAATAGCTGCGAACCCACATCGCTGTCTGCCTATTGACTAAAACCTAACACCTTTGATTCAAAATGCTTTGGTACGTGTGGAGACTTCTGAACTGAAAATATTGTTCACCATTAGTGTAGAAGTGTCTTACACTGTCAAGGATACAAAGCTCCCGGCTTAAGGAAACCTATCCCCTTATCCTTACTAAATAGCCTTCATTATTGGGGATACTCAATGAACTCCGACAAAACCTTGAAACTAAACATGGAATAAGGTTAAATACAGACGCTGTCGCCACACTGTTCAGGACAAGTGATGACGACCTAAGTAGTGCAACATGCTTTAATCTACTTGTGTCATGGCTGGAGTGAGAATTCGGTTTGTGATCTCTTCCCGTATGGAGCGGTGTGTAAGGAACTAGAACTGCAGGTGGACATCCACCAAGAGAGAAGAACCACATCAATAAACCTTCATAATGGATTCACCTAGAAGCTACGTTTTTTTCTTAGTTTTATTCGGATTCATCCCTTATGTGACATAGTGTAGCTAGGTCGGTAACAGCAGTAGATTTAGAAACACTGGTTTCTCGAAAAGAGACGGCAGGAAATCGTATCTTGTTGAGGGTCCCGTTAGCGATGCAGTTCCTTCGAGGATAGTTGCGAGTCCCTGAAAACTTTATTCTAAACATCTGAAGTGCGACAACCTTGGGATTTTAAGAAGTCAAGATTTTACTGAGTGGTTTTTACTGGACCGTACACTTCGATGTTTGCGCGAGATATGCCATAGAAGCAAGATTTCGGATAACTGGCCGAAACAACGATAGATCTAAGATGGAAGGGCGAAGCCGGAGAAGATCCTTTGGACATGCTGAAAGTAGTGTATCCAAGATTTTTGCATTAACTATTAAAGCTCTGTCACTTTTCTTCTCCTATCTACATTCTGGTTGCTCTTCCACGCTTGGCCTTATATCACTAATCCAGTTCTGGTCAGTTTACTTCATATTCTTGATCGTAGACAGATCCATACAATAGATTAGACGGAGTTGCTTTCTGAGGTGTCCCGTCTTCGCAGCTACCACCGGTTTCTTAATGCGAGGGCTTGATGTCTCCAATTGTCACTCGAGGAGCCGTCACACGTGAGCATGTGATGTGGATTCCGTCAGTGAAGTATGGGTGGCACTGTTTTCTGTCTAAGTCTGAGTTAGTCACACGGCCGATCGACCGCTGGCGACCGAATGGTTAAGTGTTTGGACTGCTTCCTAATGCAGTTTCGTCAAATGAGCATTGCAGATGGTTTCAAATAAGAATGAGACAGTTGTACGGTGCTTCTCGGCTTCTATCATAGTTTGCCTTCGATTACAGGGCAAAATTTCAATCTAATCAAATGACAGGATCAGTCCAGCCCTCCTTGTCTCTGGTGTTGTTTGTCAATAGTCAGTATTTTGTCGGATGCAGTTACCCCATTTTCTTTGTTGATGGTTTGCCTGAAGCCGTCATTTTACCGCAGCGTTTGGGAGACTTCTCAACACAGACAACTAATATATGCGCTGCACTTTTGTTGTCGTTCACTCACGTGTCTTCAGTTCAGTGGTGTCCAGCCTGGATTCTAGGTCTCCATAATCCTCAACTGATGCCGGATAACGCTCATCAGCTAAAAACGTCCCATAGCTGGACAGTTCCGCCAGCAAATGAAGACAGCTGAAATATTTCAACTCAGATGGAGGTCGAACCGTCTAATAAGAAACCGAGATTGTCTATGATGTCAAAACGATAAATCTGACGGTAGAACACATTCAATTCGGGTTTTCATGTCGTAGAAGATTACTCAGACGAAAGATATTGTCGTTGTTTGCTAAGAAAAACCGAAATTTTGGGCAATCATCTACCTAGGTGTGTACAGTCAGGTCGACAATGCGCGGTGATAAGCCCTTTCTGCACACAAAGCTTCAGTTCTGGTTTAGAAGTGCACTAAGTTGAAGGTCACTTGTCGCTTTTTAATTGCAACGTACTGTGCCCATGTGAAACTCACAAGAGCTTTTCCCCATTTTTTTTGTCCAGTCACCGTCGGATTTATCAACTGTATGTCAGTTAGATGGTCAACGCGAACGCAAAACATATTCACTTTCGCCAAAGTCGCAGCGCTGGTAATGATCATCATAACTGGTTTTGTTCAAATTGGACGGGGTAAGTTTGTAGCTGAAGAGCAGAAGAGATTTGGGAGATATACACTAATTTACAAATCAATTTGGCTTTCACGAGACTCAACTGAATCTCTCGGTTATGATATTCTACAACTGAATGTGCTGCGCACAGGCCGCCTCATGTTTCAGTTGGCACGATATTCGAGATATCGCAGCATATTTTCATAGAAGAAACTACTCACAAGGTCGAAGGGTTTTCAGCAACCTTGTGATTAGTTTCCTTTGTGAAGATTTGGGAGATGTTAAGCACGAAGCCATGTTTTGATTGATAAATTATGCGGATGTTTCATTGAATATATAGGTCTTCACTTGGCTACATGATGTGTGGCCTCTCTTGATGGCTGTCAACTGAAATCTCATTGGTTAAAAATGCTAACGCGGACTGTCCGTTGGGACGGTTTGTTCTCGGAGTTGATTTTTTGAGAGGACTGATCCATCCGTACGGAATACACCGGTCACTGAAGTAATTTTGGGTGGCCACTGCTAAAGGCAGCACTATTCCCGGCGTATCGCACGTAGGTCTCAGTTGGCTAATGGATACTTATGAATTGTGCTCAACGTAATTTGGCCTTCTGGACTTGAACTCCCTGATGTGCGGCGAAGTAACGGTAACTATTATCACTTACCAGTGGTAGTATGGCCTTGAGATCATTCTGCTAAAAACTAGAACTTCTCTTACGACATTCCGAAGAGTTCCACTCGCTGAAGTCCATCTTTATGTCACAGAAGGAATTTTTGTGAATTTTTACGTTGTGCTGTTTTGTGCTCACGATACATGAAGGCTAGTATTTTAAATGAGCCTCTGGTCAAAACATTACTACTCAATAAAGACCAGTTTTTCCTTGCGTTCTGATCCAATTATTCTGGTTAGTCGGTACCAAAGTAGGGAGTTACTGGATCGTCTTGTGGGCTTTCGACGACCGATAACATCGCTGAAGTGTAAATACGTTCGTCTGTTCAGAAGTCATGATTGAAGTGTATCCATTGCGCGTTGACGTGCTACTGATAACATAATCACCCTGCACGTCCGATGTTCAAATCCATTCAAGACAAATCGCATCCAATACTGATCAGTTCTGATGCCTAAACCACAAATGGTATTAAGGAACTCGTATGAATCGGTATACTGCCACCAGGTAGCAAGTCCTTTGATCCGTTTACTACTTCTTCCATCACTCGTTCTTGAGTCAGTTGCGTTACTGACTCATGCCATTTATCCTGCATTCGTTTCTTGGCCGCGTTGTCCGAATAGGCGATAAAGATAACAGACACTTCGTTATCATCAGTTACTGCTCGTTTTAAACACTGGCCGTTTTCGGCAATCAGAGCTTCCTGATTACAGTCGCTCACTCTCTTCGGTTGCCGTAGTCAGCAGCTGATGCTTCAAGTTCCGCAACGCTTCTTTCCTCGGTCTGGATGGAATGCAGTTTGCCATCGTGCAGGCCAGTTGATTCTGGTGTATCATCCCTATTTTCAGGTTTGTCGAACATTTTACCTCGAACGCCATGAGTTGATTGGTGTTGTTGTTTAGTGTGGCTTACGAAGCTGGATATTTAGCTTCGTTCTGACGTGCCGGTGACATGTTCCCTACAACCCTCTCACGATGTACGGCTTCTCGAAATACTCGCTGATGCACGATAACTCATGTGATTGCTGCTGTTACGTGGGCGTATCCATGTCACATTCTGTTGCTACTTCAGGAAGGAAGTTTAATTTTACAGATGATCAGATAGTGGACAGCCCTTGGTCTGAGAAGTCGGTCACCCTCGGTGTGTACAGTCCTCCTTCCTCGGCCTCATCATCGTTGGCTAATGGATACTTATGAATTGTGCTCAACGTAATTTGGCCTTCTGGACTTGAACTCCCTGATGTGCGGCGAAGTAACGGTAACTATTATCACTTACCAGTGGTAGTATGGCCTTGAGATCATTCTGCTAAAAACTAGAACTTCTCTTACGACATTCCGAAGAGTTCCACTCGCTGAAGTCCATCTTTATGTCACAGAAGGAATTTTTGTGAATTTTTACGTTGTGCTGTTTTGTGCTCACGATACATGAAGGCTAGTATTTTAAATGAGCCTCTGGTCAAAACATTACTACTCAATAAAGACCAGTTTTTCCTTGCGTTCTGATCCAATTATTCTGGTTAGTCGGTACCAAAGTAGGGAGTTACTGGATCGTCTTGTGGGCTTTCGACGACCGATAACATCGCTGAAGTGTAAATACGTTCGTCTGTTCAGAAGTCATGATTGAAGTGTATCCATTGCGCGTTGACGTGCTACTGATAACATAATCACCCTGCACGTCCGATGTTCAAATCCATTCAAGACAAATCGCATCCAATACTGATCAGTTCTGATGCCTAAACCACAAATGGTATTAAGGAACTCGTATGAATCGGTATACTGCCACCAGGTAGCAAGTCCTTTGATCCGTTTACTACTTCTTCCATCACTCGTTCTTGAGTCAGTTGCGTTACTGACTCATGCCATTTATCCTGCATTCGTTTCTTGGCCGCGTTGTCCGAATAGGCGATAAAGATAACAGACACTTCGTTATCATCAGTTACTGCTCGTTTTAAACACTGGCCGTTTTCGGCAATCAGAGCTTCCTGATTACAGTCGCTCACTCTCTTCGGTTGCCGTAGTCAGCAGCTGATGCTTCAAGTTCCGCAACGCTTCTTTCCTCGGTCTGGATGGAATGCAGTTTGCCATCGTGCAGGCCAGTTGATTCTGGTGTATCATCCCTATTTTCAGGTTTGTCGAACATTTTACCTCGAACGCCATGAGTTGATTGGTGTTGTTGTTTAGTGTGGCTTACGAAGCTGGATATTTAGCTTCGTTCTGACGTGCCGGTGACATGTTCCCTACAACCCTCTCACGATGTACGGCTTCTCGAAATACTCGCTGATGCACGATAACTCATGTGATTGCTGCTGTTACGTGGGCGTATCCATGTCACATTCTGTTGCTACTTCAGGAAGGAAGTTTAATTTTACAGATGATCAGATAGTGGACAGCCCTTGGTCTGAGAAGTCGGTCACCCTCGGTGTGTACAGTCCTCCTTCCTCGGCCTCATCATCGGACATCAGGTTACGGGAAGGCCTTTATTGACAGTTACATTAAACACCCCGGAAGAAAATGTTATCGATTTTGTTTTTCGACCGAGGTGAAACTTGTTCACACAATCTTCAGATAGAGTGGTGTTGTAGCATGTGCACAAATTTTGACTGTCAATCTCGGCGGCCAGAAAGCAACATGTGAAGTGATTTCTCAAGAATTTTCCCGATGCATTCGCACAGCGAAAAAACATGGTATTTTTGGTAGGTTAAATACTTCAAGTGTGTTTCCTTCCGGGTCCCGACGTAGATTTCGCTTCTTTTGAATTGAGTTGTAACCAAAGTTGTCAATCTGGTCATTAGTTCAATCCATTATTGTTCACACCTTCAATGGACCCAAGATTAGTACTCACACAAAAAACAGTGATAGCCCTCCCAGGCGCCCAATCCTCGGGAGAGGCCATGACTGTCTGCCATCAGGAGACCATGCTTTAAACTAACCGCTGAAGCACTTTTTGATAATAGAAGTCTGAATTGGCTTTCACCATGGCCGGTCATGCCTTCTATTGGCCAGAATGACAGTGATGGGAACGTGCTAACTAGTAGAAATTAGTGTTTCAACTGAGCGTCACCCCTGAGAGACCGTTGATCCGTATTCAAAAGACCATGGTCTCAGCAAATCTCCTTACAAATCAAGATGCACGACTCGTAGTTTGGGTGAGTCCACAAGCACAAATAGTTACAAAGCGAATTCCTAACCATTACAAAATAACAATACAGTGCATAGGAAGTACATCTGAGTTGGGCGTGCAAATAAGGACATCAGGGATTAACCCAAATCACAGGCATTCATTTGAAAATCATATAGATCTCCTGTAGCTTCGAGTGTCTGAAACAAAATCCATTGATATTATTGGAATTTATAATGTTACAAAAGAGTACAATACACACGAAACGGACATGAGTGAGTGGTGAAAGCAGACAAAGAGAAGCAGAATTCGCAGCACACACACAAGCATATAAGGCATGCACAAGGTTTCACGTCGGGTGATTGTTATGTAAGATGTATGCGCCAATCAGGTGATTACCCGCCACTCTGCAATACCAACTATTTGGTCCTGTGTAACACTTGGTAGCTAGAATAGTAACAAAACAGGAGGCCAGCAAAGCATTACTGCGCATTACTGCACACAGAGTTAGCCGCATAGACATAGATAAAGAGGCCAGGCTGAAAAGCTCGTTGGAAGATGGAATGTTTTGAGGTATCAAAGAGATAAAAATGATAGGATAAGATGTTTTGACAGTAGATTCGCTCTGCTTCCAGTGGTTCCACTGGGCTGGGGAATATGATGCAATTTGAAATGCTTTGTCAAACTGCTCGTGATTTGTCTAATTTGCATGTATGAAAACCTGAATGGGAATGCGGCGGACTGAAGACCAATTCCGGAGCTGCGATTCAAATCGAATTTCGCTAAGGAACCTCTGGGCACAGTTGTTAATATCAGTTACAGCGTGCGCATCTGAACGCTGTTTGCGGAGTGTAAATTCGAGGGATTTGGACCGGAGGTTGGCTAAGACGGTCAGTTTGGAAGGCATAAGCATGCTCAGCTGGTGACTATACATCTCAGGTCAGGTAGGGACAAATGAACACTTGTAATCCACGGTGTATTCAGGTTGTATGGTGTAACAGTTATAAGCCACAAACCACGCAAACACATATGGCTAACTAGTACTAGCCGTTTTTCAGCTTGTTAATCGAGATTTCCCTTTAGTAAATTAGATGGAACACAATAGATCATGACGCGAAACCAAACGAAGCAACGTAATACAACTTGTACAAGATAAAGATTGGATAGCAATAAAAATCAACGGACAAGAGGGCAACCTAAACGAAAGCCTATCAGTGGCCTCCATGAGAATACTTTCATGGACGATGGCAAGGGCCCTCTTCTATACATATGCATACGTATGTATACAATCAAGTAAAGTGTCCTCAGTCGACGAACTACAGATCACTAAGAGCTGCTTCTGGATCACCCATCACTGGTAGAGCTAAGCCAGAGGAATCAAAATTGCTTTAGACTGTGTTTGGTTACACTGACGTAGTAGGATCTGTTTAGGCATATTCAGGAGTAAAATCACTCATTATTTTTAGGAAGAAGGGGCTTGAGAATTGAAGATCTTTGCCTGCCGAAATCTGGGGTGCAACCAATGAACTCCGCTAGGTTTAGTGGATTCCTAGCTATAAGTAACGTACACTCAGCTTCTGTTTCTATGATTATGTGCTAAAAACGAATTTCAAATGGTAACATCGGAAACATACGGGCCAGATTAACAGGGAAAGTAATTAGAGCTTGTGACGAATGAAGGAAACCAATTGCTTTTCCCAAGCTCCATGTGCAGTAAGGCTGCTTAGGTTTGGTGGGGTTTGGCTGAGTGACCCAAAGTTGGAAACTCAAAAAGTCCACGCCCATAAAGCAGCGGGTAAACTTTTGTTCGGAGACCCTCTGATTCCACAATCTGAGTTGCAAGGCAAGATCCTGAAAGAGCCTGGTCGGAGCCAATCGTCCAGTTCTCCGTTGCTCTGTCCAAGTCCGAGGAAATCTGATTTCCAGTACTGCTAAGCACTTTGAACCCATTTGTGGCTAGTTTGGGGTTAGTTTTAGTTTTTCGGTCGCATTGTGAAAGCGGCGGTCATGGTCAAGCGTTGGGTAATTGGAGTATGTCGTTTCCAGGGGCTGATTGCTGTACCACGTCTTCCCTTGTTGAAACACGGTGTCATGGTTTCTACAAATGGGAGCAAGTTGCCCACTTGATTGAAGCTATTTACTGACTCCACATGTCCACCGTGGAAGAAAGTACAACTCACGCCCCCTTGCCACTCTCGTAGTGGGGAGACTAGTCTCACCGCTGAACTTCGTGATATGGCTATCCTTTGAAAAACGAAGTTCAAGCAAATGTAGGCCATGGGATCATTGCAGTACTCAGGCCAGCCACTTGAAGGTGGCTGTTCTGTTAACTGACCAAACTAACCTGTTTTCCTTCTTTAACTAATGTAAATACTCCGAATAAAAGAGGAAGCATCAATATGTAGGTTAGTTTGTAGGGTACCTTACCTTGGCCGGTAAACTGTCAAACGGTGGCCTAGCACAGGCTTGCCTTTTGATGCAACTGAGTAACAACCTTCTTTACGACATCACCTACCAATATTTCTTTAACTTTTCAGCCACTATCTTAATTATTATGTCAGGTCGCTGCTTGAATCTAGATGATAAAGTCAGTATCTCTCTACGTAGATGTTTATCCCAACGTATCAAATTCGAGTCGGTCATCTAGTCACCTGATTTCAGTATTCAAATATTACTGTTTAGCCTCATCGTACGTGAGAACTGAGCACACATGAGCGTGGCCAGCAAAACTCAGTACAAAGAGCAGTGGTTTTTCAGGAATGCTGTCGTTAAATGAATTATCGTACCCTTAGAAGACCTGAGGTTGACTTAGTGTATCCAAGCTTTTGGCCGGAGATATTTTTGTAAGCTGCAGCTATTTTAGTAGTTCGGCAGCCCGGGTATCCTTCAGCATCCTGTATGGTGGATAAAACCTGATTAAATTCGGTCATGACGCATTAGAATTCCTCTGATTACTAACTCTGCTCATGTCGCATAGATCGGTTTTATCTTTACATAGGCAAGTTCGTTGTCACAGATTTTGTTATCGTGGTCCTCCAAGTCAGAATTTTCTTTATCATTGCTCTGTGGTGACAGGCCACGCTGATGGAATAAGTCTGGAGTGAACTGGTTGTCGAGATCATCTATGAGACAATAAACGACAAGATCGCTTTTGTACTCATGAACTGAGTAACGCTGGAAGCCAGATGCTTAACGTGCGTTTGTAGATTGGCCGTGGACAACCGAACTCCCAAACCTGAATTTAATAATCCATAACCAAGCTCTGAACATAGAACGTCTGAATTCCATGACACGCTCCAACTCAAATTTTGATTATTTCAATGTATCTTATCCGGCTGTAAGTGCCTATCAAGTTGGTGGTTCACCTCACTGTTCACTCTCCGTTTTAGAAACTTACTTTTGTCTTTTTTATCACATATATTCCATGTGGTTGCTTCAAGTGTAGTAACTTCAGTGCAGTACACTAATTTGTGTACCAATTTGATTTTGACGGCAGACTTACCTGGAACCCAGTTGAATATCTCGTTTATAATGCTGTTAAGCTGTCAAAGAGTTTTCAAAAACCCTATGAGTAGTGAATTATGTCCATACAATGTATCACGACATCTCGAATATCGTACCAACTGAAACATGAGGTGGCCTGGTGCAGAACATTCAGTTATGTAAGAACATCACAAACGAGAGTCGAAGCTGGCTTCCAGGTGAGTTTCCCGTCAAAATCAAATTAGTGTGCAGATGAGTGTATAGGTGAAGTTTTGTTTAATTTGGGTTCGACTGGGACGCGAGGTTGACGGGAAATCGCGGGTTACGCTTTCCTAATGAGCCCCATGGAGAGCGAAACCGGTCGTGAGCTGTCGAAGAGTTTTCAGCAACCTTGTAAGTAATGCATTATGTCTACTTAATGCATAAGTTCCAGTTTTTATTTGTAATGAACGCGTCGATTCCTTTGCTTGTTATGACGAATAGTCGTCTTTTGAGTCACTTGAAATCACGTACAGATAACTTATGTCTACTGTCTGGCATAAATAATATTCTGGTGTACATGAGTATCAATAAACTCAGCGCCATACATAATGAAAATGTTCGCTAATTCAACCCCTTTAGCATTGTTCACATATTTCTGGTTACATTTTTTACAAACCAGGTCGAACCGAGGAATTTCAAGATCCATTTGAAGGCTCCAATTGGAATCCAGGCAGTTTGACTGTGGCTTTCTACAATGGGTTGTTTGCTTACTCCGGTTGGAACAGCCTTAACTGCATGATTGAGGAGATGAAGAACCCACGGCGTGATCTGCCTATCGCCATCATTGTGTCGTGCCTGATAATCACAATCATCTATACGATGGCGAACGTGGCCTATGCGACTGTGTTAACGATTCCAGAAATATTGAACTCGGACGCCGTTGCTGTAGTGAGTGATGTTCACCCAGATATGCTACGGTATCCAGCTATTTGCCTCCTAGTTTAATGGGCATTCCAATGAAAAATGTTTGGCGTTAGGTCTTGGGTGCTGAAAACTAATCGGAAGTATTCAACAGAGATTTCATCCTGTTAGTGAGGCAACTCAATGCTGAAAAGCCATGAACCTCTGTGCAGTCGTTTCATGCTTGTTGAGAATCACCAGTATTGAGCATCTCACGAAACTTGAGGAGCTTAGCCACTGACCGGAAGATTACGGGTTCAAAACTGTCTGAGTTTTGTGGGATGCGTACTGTTGATGATTCCCGAAAAGGATTAAACCGCTGTACAGTACTTATCGGCTTTTCAGCGTACATTGGCTTCACTGATGAGATGAAATTTCTATTAAATGTTACCAAATTTCTCATCATCAAGAACTAATAGGAAGTATTTTAATAATTGAGAGTTTAGTGGCGAACCATTTTCTGATTTTGGTGTTTATGGAGAACTGAAGTAGCAAGAAATCTGAACCGTTTCTCACGATTAGACAGTACACTGCGTCCGATTACGAGGATTTTTGATGCAACTAACCGCTAAATACAAAGGCACACTGGCATGAGGCGACTGAATACGAGCTTGGAACTGATCAGGCTCAGGAGCAGCTGATCCATCAATGCGCTATCTGTACACCGTTGATGCCCACACTCCTAGTGAAAAGGAGTTTGTTGTCATGGGCTGCTTTGTATAAGGGACTCACTCATCAGTGAAAATAATTGCAATGCATAATAAAAACATAATCTACGGAGTGATCTATCCTCAGGGTGGTATGGCTCGACAAATATCTTGTCACAGGTGACGTCGTAAATTAGTGAAGATAATTCTAGCTTATATTTGTAATGTACTACTCATAAGGTTGCTTAGTAGTATTGAGATATCTGGAGCCAATCATTCTTCAAACAAGGATAGTCACTAATACATCAGTAGTAAACTGTTTGTCACAGAACTGTTTGTCACAAGGAACTGGGCATTCAGGATAATGTGTCTGTCCTTCCTCAGAAAGAAGCTTCGGTTCATCTGATGTTTGGAACAAGAAGCTTGGGAATGAACTGAAACACAGTTTAGGTATTGCTGTTGCTAAGTACTGCGCAAGGTGAAATCTACATGATTGTCCACATCGTTGTCCAGTGCCTGCAGAACATGTTATACACACTATGCAGTCTGTAGAAAAATAGGACCCATTGCTAATTCTTCACGTTCATAAGGAAAACTCTGAAACCATGTACGAAAGAAGGCTGTTTTGTTCTCGCGGACAGGAATATTCGCTATATTTAAGCTATTTGCTATGACTTCCGATCATCAGAACCTTGATGGTTTTTACTGCAACCGGTTTTTGTGAAAATGAATTTTCACCGTTTGAGCAAATCCTGCATTGCTAAACAAAACCGTGTCATTTACCATTCTGGTACTATTTATTTGCTACTATCTTGAGTGATATTGTGCGCATGATGTATCTTTCTGTTGACAGTCCTTCGCGATTCGGATTTACGGGCCAGCCTGGTGGATCATGCCAATATTTGTGGCCCTCTCAACTTTCGGTGGCGTAAACGGGAGCGTCATGACAACTTCACGCATGTTCTTTGTAGCCAGCCAACAGAATCAAATGCCGAAATTGTTGTCGTTTCTCCAGACGTCCAGCTTGACACCCGTTCCGGCAATTGTGTTTATGGTAAGAGGTCCTACGCCAAAGCTAAGGGTATCAGTTCAGTTTTGCGAGTAACTGTTGAGTATAGAGATGGTAAACAAAGGCTTAATTGAGGTGCTAGTCTGTCTTCCAGTTAGACTGGGAAGAGTTCCGCTCTCAGTTTGTAAACTTCTCTCTAAATAACAATGCCTGACTACGGACTTTAAAGTTCACTGCATATAATTGTTCACAAATATCAGGGAACCTTTACTGCGAACCTGTCAAGAGAATGAAATTCTTTCCATCGCTCCAAGCTTTACTTCCCGGGGTCACCGACCTCTTTAGACTGAATTAGTTACCCGGCAAATTTCACTAATCTTGATAGTGACTTGTAATACAAGGTGGATAGCTTTATTTCGTATCCACATCAGTTTCGATTCAACAGTACTTCCCATTTTCCAGTTCGCTTAGTTTGATTATTCTACATAGATCAGCATAAGTACCAGACTACGAAATCCCGCTTCTTCTAGATCAAAGCAGCGACTTTTCAGCATTTCAATCTCCGATCATCTGAAATGCGATCCGAGCTTGTTGACTCCAACTCACCGCCCGCGCTAGACACCTGAACTATCGAATGTAAGAAGACAAATTTTAACATGAGTGGTGTGTGGTTAGTCAAATAGCTGGAACAAACTTACAGGGGCATTTCGGACTAGTGATTCATCTGTGAGAACTCTGCCTGATAGGCCCTAGGACTTGCCCCCTCTTCGGAGAAATATTGAATATTTGTGTTGAGGTTGTTGGATCGAAGCCCATTTCATCCGCGGTTCGACAAGCGGAGCGACAACAATAACTGCTTATAAATGTCACCAATGGTAGATCACTGAGGTAGGTCATTGTTTTTAGCTGACAAATCAAAGCTACGATGTATTAATTAACGCATCCTTCTGTCATGTGACCGTAAAGGAGGGACGTTAACAGTGAACTGACCATTAATCCCCAGATTACACTGCAAAATGACTTGAAAACATTTGGCCGCTCGTCGTGGAGGCAGGAACTGACACAGCGAAGTATACCGATTGGCAAATCAGTTTGGTTTTGCGAGAGACTCACATGGACCCAGATGAATGACTCGCTTACGACGTCAAAGCATCTTGAGCAACTTTATGAGTAGTGTATTGCTTCTAAACTGACACTTAGTTTCCTGGTGCATACCATATCGTTGACATCTTTGTCTGGCTAGTAGAAACAAGCTTTCTTTCAGTCACTGGATCTTCCTATTCACTTTCTGTAGTGGCGGTTACTCACATAAGATGAGGATTACCTTTAAAACCGCATCCGCTCAAAATTTACTGTCCTTTTTAGTGCGGCGTCACAATCGTTTACGTGGGTATCGGCGAAATCAGTTCACTAATGAATTATCTGGGCTTTGTCAAATGGTTAGCCGTTGGAATCTCGGTACTAATAGTCATCATCTTTCGATTCACAAGGCGAACGATGGAAAGACCAGTGAAAGTAAGTCCTTGGATGACGATGTCACGTCTATTCGGTTGAATATCAAAGGAAGTCCATGTAAAAATCGGAATGGGGTCTGTTAACATGCGTAGACATCATGAGAGTTAGCAGAAGAAGAACAACTGGGTCTTTTATGACGTTATGTCTCCATTTACGTTTGAGATGAGAAAAAATTGGGATGCTACAATCGGGTTCCAGCGAAACAATTTGAGAGTTTTATTAAAAAATTGGGAACAAAAATGTTCCGATTGTCAGATACTGACTTAAAATTTCACTGGACCTTCATTTCTTACATTTTCGAGCCCAAGGTAGCAAATTTACTGACCGTAAGATCTATGGTTCGAACCCAACCCCTGGGTAACCCGGGGATAGCTCGATCCTCGTGCTTCCTTCGAGCCGCATTGCAGCTAGCACTGGAAACGTGTTACAACCGAGTGCTTATTGTGATTATTATCTCTCCACATATCCTCAGCGTTTCACTTTTTGAAGTGATTTTGTCACGGGTGCCAAAGAAATCGACTTTGTTGTCAGGTCGACTAGGAGATTAGAGACGGCTGCAGTGGTTTACATACATTTGCTTCATAGAGCCTAAGTTGACTGAACTATGGCTCAACGGCCTTTACTTACATAAAACCCAAGAAGCTGTGAAAAGTGGCATCCGAGTGTGGAAAATAAAACTTAGTTTCTATGATGCTTCCGAAACTATAGGAAATCAAAGGGGGAATAGTCAGTATGACCTTATCAGTTCGCAAAATGGTACTTTCTGTTACACGAATTTTGCGCTCAAGCGATTCATATCATCATTCTCAACTTCGTCCATAGGACTGGAACGAGTCCTAAATATGGCTATCTAAGTAAACAAGGATAAAACTGGTCTTAGGTGGATGGTTAAATCAGGTACACTGCCTATCCAAAAACACAAGAATGCTGTTATACAAACAGCTAAATTAGAGCTGATCAAAATATTTATTTTCACGTCACCTTGGCCTGTCTACAAGGCATTTCCTATACAGACCACACCAGGTGATGGTCTGAAAGGATAAGCACGAAAGTAAAGTTTAACTAATG